CCACGCGGGTTTATTGTCTCTCTGCTTTTTGTATCTGTTTGGAAATGTTCATGATCTAAGTGGGAAGTTTTGAAAATAAAATAGAGCCCTGGCAGGGTAGCTCAGACGGTTAGAGCTTCGTCCCAATACGCCAAGGTTTGGGGTTCCACCCCGCATCAGGACACGTACCAGAAGCAACCAATGACTGCAGAAATGAGTGCAACAACGATGCGATGTTTCTCTCTCAAATCAGTAAATAAAAAGAAAAAAGAAGAGTTGGTTGTTTGTTAAGCACAATTTGGAAAATACAGAAAACTAGCAAGACTACCCCTGCTCCCCCACGGCCCCCAGTCCCACATCACTGTTGTAGTTAACATTTTGATGTATTTCCATTCAGCCTTTTCTATTTTACTCAGGCTTTTTAAAGTGTGTGTGTGTTTTATATAACCATGTGAGCAAATTGTTTATACAGTCCTGCTTTTTCCCTTCTTACAACGTAAGCTGTTCCCCTGTCCCTCGTCTCTCTGTGTAAACACAATCTCTAGTGTTTGCACGATGTTTACTCAACGGGGCAGTGTTGCCAGACGTTGAAGCTGTTTCCAATTTCCTCCCATTATAAATAATGCCTCGATGCACATCCTCGTGAGTCCCAGAGGCGGGATTCCTGGGCCAAAGGGTGCGGACCCTTTGGCAACTCACAGTCAAAATTGCCTTAGAGTTGCTGCCTGACCCAGAGCTGAAATGACCTCATACAGTTAAAGTGAGATTTCACTGCCATTTGTTATTTCCTAAAGGTTTGATTCATGACTCACACTCATGAGAGGAAGTCTTTTCTTCCCCCCTCTTGCAGGAAACAGAAATCCATTCACACTAGCTCATGTTAAAAGGGGGTTGAACCAGCAAGAAAAGCTAACATTCACCTTCGACAGCTATCTCATGGCGACTGTTGAAACGCTTAAGCATTTCTGTGATGGTTGGTAAATCACGCTGCCTCAAGGGCCGCAAATGTCCCTCACCTGACTGCTCCAGCTGCTCTGGTCCCTCCCCAGGGCTTCCCAGGGCTTCCCACCATAATGTCAGGCAGAGCAATGAACCATTCCGTGCCCAAAGTACTGGTCATTAAATTTATTTTATTTTATGTTATTAGAGAATCCGCTACAGCAAGCACTACCCAGGTGAGGTCACACCTTAGAACAGGCGGGGCCCACTCCTCTTTCCCTGCCAGCCCAATCCAGTTAACCTTGTGAAAATAGATCCCCCCTCATGTGCCATAGCACACAGGCAAAGCCAGCTGCTGCAAAAAGCTTTATTGTTTCCATTTGGCCCAGTGCATGGGAAGGGGCTCCAGGGTGGTTAAAAGAATGGCTGGGGATTTGGGGGAGAGGCTCAGGCAGAAGCCAGGCACCGGGGGGATGCAGAGGGGCCCCTCAGAGGCCTCTGCGCTCCAAAGGCTCCTAGTGCGCTTGAGGGGGAGCCTTTCCGAGAGATACTCCCCCCGCCAGCCTGGGGCGCACTAGCTGCGGAGGTGACCAGGTGTCGCCCATCTTCCTGAGGAGTTTCACCCGCTCGCCCAGGAAGCGGCTCTGCAGGGATCACAGAGCTGAGGGGCTGTGCAGGCAGAGCCCGGGGCCTGCAGGTCCCAAAGGGCCTGGGTCAGGCTCCTCTCCAAGGCCGCGGCGGCTTCCGTGGCGTCCTGAGTGTCACCCCACTCATCCCGGGGAGGCTTCTGCACGTCCTGGAGGAGGGCACAGCCGCAGCGCTGGTTTCGCATCTTTAAGAGATGCTCAGCGCCAACTCTGGAAGAAGAGGCCCCTGCCCTTCAGAGCCACATCCTCGAGGTGGAAACAGAAGCCCAGAGACAGGTAGGTGTCGGAGACTCAGCAGGTCATGACGGAGAGGAGCTGGAGCATGTGTGTGGACTGAGAGAGAAAGCGGCCTGAACTGTCAACTGCTAATTCCAGGTGGAGGGTATGTGGAGTTGATTGTGCTCTTCTCTCGACTTTTCCATAGATTTAAATTTTTCCACAACAGATATTTGAGGGGGGAAAACTTGTGCTGAAACCTGATTCCAAGTTCGCAGGGCAGGGAAAGCTCTAGAACTCTACCCTCTGGCACCCCTTTCTCCCCATCCCTTCCTGAGGGGCTGGGGGCGGGGCACGGAAGTTGGGCCTGCCCCGCGTTCTCTCAGTGAGTTCTTTGGGTAGGTGGCTGGTTCCCATCGCTGCGGCCGTGAACTCAGGCGACGGGGTACTTGGCCACGTTTGTCCTCAGCTTTGGCCCTCGTAGCAATTCTGGGGAAGTCCCATTCAACATGCTCTCCCAGAAGTCTGAAGGGCAGAGGCTGCGCTTGGCTCCCAGCAGCTGACGGCTGTGATTCTCACCCAGGGGCAGTGCCTGGGAGGCCTCTGGAAATGTGTGGCGTTGTTTTGTTATTGTCACACTGACTTTGGAAAGGGTTGCTTTGGGCAGCTGTTCCGTAACTTTTTGACTTCATCTCCCACGGCCTTCCCCAGCCCTCGTGACACTCCCGCCCTCCCGCCTGCCCTGTATTCAGGGCCTTTGCTCCGGCTGTTCCCCCAGCCAGGAACACTGTTCCCTCAGAATCGGGCAGGACTCCTTCAGTCGGGCCTCTGGTCGAATGCGTCCTTCCTAGAGAGGTGCTGACTGCCCTCTCTAAAATCGCGCCCGTCACTATCCCTTCCTCTGTTTTTCCTTCAAAATACTTATCGCAACCAGCCATTGTATCATGACACATCTTGTTCCTTTATTTTTTATCTCCCCCTTACAATAGCAAGTCCAGCAGAGCAGGACATTGTCCTTGTGCCCCACTGCTCGACCCCTAGGTCCTAGAGTAGTACCTGGCCCTGGTAAGTGCTTGGTGATTATCAATAAGTATCTGGAATGCCCGAATGAGTGACTCATTTTCCCGTCAGCCGAAGCCCCGGGCCGACGCCGAGCTCCCGAGGGCAGGGCCGGTGCCTCACCCAGCGCCCTCCGCACCCAGCATCTGATCGGAGCGAGTTTTCCGAAAGCGAATGTGCACAGAATAGAGAAAACCTAGTGGAGGAAAGCAGATCAGTGGTTGCCTGGGGCCGGGGTGGGAACGGGCAGTGACTGCAAGTGAGCACAAGAGGTCTTTTCAGGGTGATGGAAATGCTCTAAAATCAGACTGCGGTGATGGCTGTCCTCTAAAATCACCCCAAATCAGTAAAGCGCTTAAAACGGGTGAATTTTGTAAAGTGGACATTATACCTCACTTAAACTATTAGATAAAACAAAGCAAAATATGGGTTTCGGGAGTGAATGAATGCTCCCTAGGGGTAGGTGCGGAGGTCGGCTGAGCCTTACACTGTGCCCCACCCTGGATGATACTAGAGATACTGTGGTGACTAAGGCAGCCCTTGTCCCTGCCCTCACAGGCCCACAGTGACAGCCTAGGGGTGGGGCCTGGATGGGGGGTGCACAGGAAGAGGGGTTAGGGCCAGAAGAGGAGAAACTGAGGCAGAAGGGTCAGGGCTGCCCTAGGGGAAGTGTAGTTGGACTGCAGGAGCCCGATGCAGGCTTTGGATCGAGACGGGAGGAGTCAGGGAGGACTTCCGAGAGGCGTGAACACATGAGCCAGAGCCTGAAGGATAATGTTGCTCATAACTGAGACTCCAACGTTTAAAAAACACTTTTCCTGCCATAGCATCGGTCTGGCGGGACTCGACGCGAGGCACGAATGGGGCCCCTGAGTTCCCGGGGACAGGGCCACAAGGGGGCGCTGTTTACCGCGCTCGCGCACAGGGGCCGCGTGGCCTGGGGGGAGCGGGAGGGCTGCGGGTTGTTGGTGCCAAGAACGTTTGGGAAGAGACCCCGGCAACGTGGGCGGTGGGCGGCGGCCGGCGGGCAGCTGAACTGGAAAGGGGGCCCTGAACCAGCCTGCGCTGGACGGCCGCCCTAAAGTGACCTCCAAGAGGATGTGTCGGGCGCTGCACGTGGCGGCGAGGGGACGAGGCCATCCGGTAGGGCGGGGGCGTTAACTCGGTTATCCTGGGTCTGTTTTGAAAGCCCAGGCCTGGGGGAAGCGGAGGGTGGGAGGTGAACCCCAGATCACTGGTGTCTGGACGGAGAAGAGCCAGGAGCTGTGCAGACTGGACCTTCTGCACCCAGGGGACTGTTGGGAGGAGTGGCTCTGAGAAAGGCTGCTCTGGGCACAGGGAAGGTGGTTTTGTGTAAAGTTCAGCCTTTGGCAGAGAACAGGGTTTTGACTGTCCCTGATTTTCTGTGCACTGCGTGGCCTGTTTTCCCATCCACCGGAGTTAGAATCATCTCTGTGGGTCTTAGGCCCTCTCTGCCCCTCTCACTCACCAGCGGTTTGCAGAGATGACCTGCTGAGATTGCCTCTGCCCTGTGCTGGCACACAGGTGACCAGGAGAGCCCCAGTCCTACCCCTCACTCAGTCCCCGGATGGGTCAGGGCTGGGATGGGGAAACAGGAAGAGCGGCCAGGGCCCTGTAGGATCCTGGCTCAGCCTGAAGGGTCAAAGGTCTTTCTAAACTTTGAATGGACTGTGTTGGGGGGGGCGGAGAATAGAAGAGGGTCCACTTGTAAGAAGAGGCTCCTTGACCCCAGGCCTGAAGGACACGCGGCATTCTCTGGGAGCAGGAGCAGCGTCAGGAAAGGGTGTTCTAGGCAGAGGGAGCAGCATCTGCAAAGGCTTGGGGATGAGAAACTGTGGCTCCTTTCTGGCAGAGTCCTTTGCTTCCTTCCTGGGGATCCCCTTGGTGCCCTGGCACCTGTCCCCTAGTCGAGGATCTGCAGCTGAGTGATGGGCTGTAATGCAGACTCCTGAGGGCAGTCCCCAGGCTTGTTCCCTCACAGCCAGGTGGCTTAATGACTGGCCTTCAGATTGGTATGAATCCGGCTCCCCCACTAATCAGGTGTGTGACCTGGAGTGAGTGACTCAACTTCCCCATCCATCACATGGGGATATAACATTGGGTTTCACCAAATCAATCACCTCATTTTGAAGAGCTATAAAGAGTTAAGCATATAATTTATATATTACATATTGAAAAATACATAACTCGTAGATTATATCAAGGGGCACAAGAAACAAGACAGACTTGAAAACATGCTGCCACATCAGATGACACTTTGGCCTCAGTCACAGAGAATACAACTGATGACAAAGGAATTAGCCTGCTCAAAGATATGCTATTCCAAGCCTCATTATTTGAAGGGATTTTAATACTGAACTTATTAGCAGCAGATTAGAATTTTAATTCCTTGGTTCAAAATCTGTGAGAATCAGAAATGGGGTGATTAATTTTGGGCACCCTTTGCTACTCACCTCTGCAGTACCAGGTCAGCTGTTACCTGCTGCTAGTTCTGACCAGGGTATTATGCAGGGAGACCCCCCTGCCTTAGGGGATGAATCAGGAAGAAAGGCTGTGTGACCTCACCCCCCCAACACACACCCTGCTTTCCTGAGGGGCACCATTATACCCTTCCTTTATTGGCTGTCCTGGTATAATACAAATATGCAAGTTTAGATACAAAAAAATCTGGAAATAAAAGATAGAAAAGTACCCGCCAGGCACCCCGCCCCCTTCCTCTGGACCCCTCCCCAGCGGGCACCAACGTGAGGTAACTTAGCATCTCCTCCTTCCCCCTACCCCACTTCCTGGGCCCCCAACTTGGCCCCTGCCCCCAAGAGACCTTGGCCCAGGGAGGATGTTGGCCCCCGAGGGGAGGGGTAATAGGGGTGAGCACAGCATTGGCAGTGAACGCAGCGGGTGGGCAGAGGGAAGCCCTTTGCTTGTGCTGTGTATGGGGGGGGAGACCCGTGTGGGGCCCAGGCGAGCCCCTAAATGGGTATCCCTCCCCCATCCCACCCAACACTGGGAGGTGGAAGGTCAACAACAGAAACTGGAAAATGTAGCTTTAACCGAGGGCACTCAGTGGGACTGCAGCCACCCCCGTCTGGGGAGTAAGGAGCGTTGCCAGCCTAAGCCTGGCAGTAAAACAGGACCCTTAGCCAGGCTGGGTCCGCCCCTGAGTTCCATCCTATGGCGGCCTGGGTGTCACAATGTTGGTTCTATAGTGGTTGTCGGGGGAGTAGAGAGAGGGGTTAGAGGGCTGTTGAGGGGCGCAGCCCCAGGGAGCATGGTGAGGGGACAGCTGGGCCTCCACTCCCAGGCGGGGGGCACCCGGAGATAATGGGGTAGGCAGGGTGGCTTGGGCTACAGTTCAATCTCGAAGGTCTTTTGCAGGTCGCCCGAGAAGGGGTTAGAAGGCTTCTCTACAGCGGGTTTGCCTTCTAACGCTGCCCACTGGGCCTCAAAGGGGTCCAGCTCAGGGGCCGGGGCGGGTGCTGGCTCTGGGGGCCAGGGGGCCCCATTGGGGCGAGGGGGGGCCTGGCCCCCAGGGGCACTGGGCGCAGCAGGGGGCGGGAAGGCTCCAGCTTTTCCCAGCAGTGCGGCAGGTTGGGGCTGGAGCTGGGCGGCTGAGCAGAAGGCATTGGCCACCATCTGTGAGGGTGTGATGCCCACCACGGGCACGCGGGGCATGGGCGGGTAGCCCAAGCCTGGGTAGGTGGGCACAAAAGGGGGCTGCATGTGTGGGGGCGGCAGAAACAGGGCCATCTGGGCAGGTGCAGCATCGAAGGGCCCCAAGGGGGCGGGGAAGGGCTGCAGGGGAGGGGGTACGGCAGGCACCGAGGACACTTGCTGCTGCTGCTGCTGCTGCTGGGCTTTGGCCACCTGGGACACCTCTTCCAGCCACCGCTCGGCCTCCGAAGGGGTCCGCTTGTGCCCAGGCTGGAAGGCAGCTGCTGGGGACACCGAGGGCTCGCCCCAAGCAGAAGTCCCTGGACAGAGGAGGGGGCAGGTGAGGGCAAGGGCTGCAACGGAAGAACCTGAGGCTGGCATCAGGCTCTGCAACCAGCCCGAATCCATCCTGGACCAGTTGATGGTTCTGCGGTGCTAGGAAAATACAGTTCTGAGAGTCTAAGGCCCCGAGACGAAAAGCCATAGGTGGGACTGACAGTCACCCAGGCCGGCTTCGCTTCTGATGGGTCAGTGCCAAACCTGTTATTAACTCTCTTTAGCATCACCCTTGGTTCTAATATTCTGAGAATGTTTTGTTTTAGGAGGCTAAGATTCTAAGGCTCCATAGGTCTTTCTCAGGCTGTACTATCCTACAGTAATGAGTGAGGTTTCACGCTTTTAAGTTTCTGTTTTCTAAGATTCTAGAGCTTTAAATTTACATTGTTTGCGAGTCTAAGGTGCTCCCGCATTTCTAATGATAAGGCCATGCCCCTGAGGTGACTCCACAGCCTGCTTCTCAGAGAGCACCCTGCACCTTTCTGAAGCTGTGAGACTTCCAAGGTTTCATGGCTCCAAATCTGTTAGATTCGAGTACCCTGTGATCTAAGGCTATATGTTTCTGAATTTTATTATTCTAAGGAAGGTTTAAAAATGATCCCATGGGGCCCTGGCCGGGTGGCTCAGTTGGTTGGAGCATCACCCCATACACCAGAAAGTTACGGGTTTGATTCCCGGTTAGGGCACATACCTAGGTTTCGAGTTCCATACTCCCCCCGTCGGGCCGTGTATGGGAGGCAACTGATTGATGTTTCTCTCACTCTCTCCCTCCCTCCCTTGCCCTTCCTCTCTCTCTAAAATCTAAAAAGATATCCTAGGATGAAGATTTTAAAAAAAAAGATCCCATAGTTCTAAGGAGATCTCATAGCTGTAAGATGACCAATGGGTCTAAGATGACCCCATAGTTCTATGACTCATGGTCCTAAGCCTGTGGGATTCCAAGATTCCTGGAGTCCCTGAGGTAGCTTTGAATGGAGCAGGAGAGTGCAGGAGGGGCACTGCAGTGCCACCAGGGAAGGGCTGGGCTCACCCATTGAGGCAGGTGGTGGCCCTGGTGCTGCTGCACCAGCACTGGCGAAAGACGAGCTGATCTGTGTGCACAGAGCGTTGATGCTGTCGCTGTCACCGGCACCAGGAGGCTCCATCTCGGGCACTGGGAAGTCAGGGAAAGGCAGAGGTCAGTGAATAGGCGCAGACCCTGTTCTTGACCCCTTTGCCCTCAGGTGGCCCTCTCACACAAGGTGTGTGGGTTGGTGGGTCCACTCTGAAGTAACTCAGTGGCCATGGTCACAAAAATGATAACTCTGTGCATATGTGTGTGACATCTGAGTGGTACAAGTGGTGTGTGACACTGGTGTAGAGGAGAGACTGTTTCATGATGTGACAGCTGTTGGACCCGCAAACCAGGTCCTGGCCAGAACAGAGATGGCTTCCTATAAATCCCCTCGGAGACTGTTTCCTGTGCCCCAGGTGTGCTGGTTCCTGGATCAGGTCATCGCGCCAGTACCCCTTCCATGCTGCCCTGTCCTAATGACCCCTTAGCTCCTGCCATGTGGCAGGGAGGCTATCCATGTGGTCTTGCCGCTGCCCAAGACGTGCCTCGTATGTAAGTTCCCTGAATAAACTCTTGATGTAATGGTGGAGTCGTCAGCCCCTTTCTCGGGCCTCTCAGCCCTGGGAAATTTTCCCAATTGGATGGCGGAAAGTCACAGAGACTCCCCAAATTAAGGAAGACATGTCGGTAGCCACAAACCGGAAGAAATATGGAATGTTTAAAAACATATATTGGCCTGGCCAGTGGGGCTCAGCAGTTGAGCATCGACCTATGATTCAGGAGATTGAGGTTCGATTCCCGGTCAGGGACATGCCTGGGTTTCGGGCTCTCTCTCTCTCCCCCTCTCTCTTCCTCTCTCTGAAGTAAAAAAATATATATTTAAAAAAAGAAAAGAACATATGTTAATTTAAAAAATATATTTAACCACAAAGATGGCAAGAGCATTGGCCAGTCAGAATGGATTTTGGCTACCCTGTTTTTCACTGGTGGGGATCATTTATCCTGCTTTGGGTAGCAAAGTGGGGCCCTGTCCACCCTGGCCTCTATAACATATATCACAGGGGCAGAGATGCACGTGTGCCAAGAAGGCAGTGAGCAGGTGTGGGGGCCTCATGAGCACTTGGGATGCGCAAAAGTACCATCTGAATAAACAGAGGACCGCCAAGTGTGGTGTGTGACAAGTGTCTGTGACATCTCAGCAAGCATCTGTGTCTAAGGGAGCCTGTGATGTTCCAATGAGCATGAGAAAGAAACTAACTGGAGGAGTCAGCAGGTGTGACATGGGGGTGCACAGGTGGGAGGTACGTGGCTTCCAGGTCAATCACATGATGACTGTGTGTGTTAGTCCAAATGAGGGTGCAGCTTCTGAGGATATGGTATCTGAGTGTGACAAATCCAGGTGCATGGTGACCTGATTGTGATTCCCAGGTGTGAGCCAGTCCACTTGTGTGATGTATGAATGTGTTGGCAAGTGCTTATGATCTGCACATGTGACTTCCAAGCCTGCGTGAATTAGGGTGTGTAGTCTGTGAGTGTGTGTAAATCTGGGTGTGTCATTTCTGGCTCTGTGCTTTCTAGGTGTGTGGAACTGCAACATTTGATTGTGCACCTTCTAAGTGTGTGTGATTTTGGTGTGCACTTGACTAAGTGTGTAACTACAGAGTGTGTGTGACACCTGCAGCAGACTGTGACATCTGTGAGAGTCAGTGATTTTGTGTGGCAAGTCACATCCAAGCNGTGGGGGTGCACAGGTGGGAGGTACATGGCTTCCAGGTCAATCACGTGATGACTGTGTGTGTTAGTCCAAATGAGGGTGCAGCTTCTGAGGATATGGTATCTGAGTGTGACAAATCCAGGTGCATGGTGACCTGATTGTGATTCCCAGGTGTGAGCCAGTCCACTTGTGTGATGTATGAATGTGTTGGCAAGTGCTTATGATCTGCACATGTGACTTCCAAGCCTGCGTGAATTAGGGTGTGTAGTCTGTGAGTGTGTGTAAATCTGGGTGTGTCATTTCTGGCTCTGTGCTTTCTAGGTGTGTGGAACTGCAACATTTGATTGTGCACCTTCTAAGTGTGTGTGATTTTGGTGTGCACTTGACTAAGTGTGTAACTACAGAGTGTGTGTGACACCTGCAGCAGACTGTGACATCTGTGAGAGTCAGTGATTTTGTGTGGCAAGTCACATCCAAGCAAGTGAGCAACTGGCTACAGGAGCCTGAGGCTTCCAAATAAAGCCCGGGGAGCCTGCTGCCTCTGGGGAGCATGTGTGACAGCCCTGGGGGGTGCGCATAATGTCAGGTTGCAAGAGGACAGCAAAAAAGGGATGCTCAGGATACGGAGTGAATGCCCATCATTCTCAACAAGTGCTGGCATCTGCTCGGCAGTCACCTTCTGGAGTAGCCCAGCCTCCTGGATACAGATCAACACCTCCCACACGGGTCCCCAAGGCCATGATAAGTAGGTGTCTCAGATTAGGTGTCTGGAGGCAGGAGAGCAGGCCAGGCCGCATGGTTCGCTGACAGCTGGGAGGAAAGGCAGCCCTCCTGCCTGTCTCCCTTGGGTAAAACTACCGAGCCACCTCTCCTCTCCCTTCCCATTGCAGATGCTCCTTTAGATCATGACGTATGCCACCTCTCGCCTTTCCCTACCACAGCAGACATTGCTAAGTGATCATGATTTGTGTCACCTTTCTTTTATCCTCTGTCCATAGCAGACATTGCTAATCGATCATGATTTCTCCCACTTCTCCATTCTGCCTCGCCAGCAGCAGACACTGCTAATTGATCACAGTGTGTCCACCTCTCTCACCCCTGCGCGCGGTAGGCGTGTGGTCAGTCACGGTGCCTACCGCCTGTTCTCCGTCCGGCGCGCACGGACACCGGGCTCGCCCGCGGGGCTCACCTGTGCTCTTCACCTGGAAGTCGGTGCGGCGCTGCAGCGTGGACGGCAGCTCGTTCAGCCGCAGGCTCAGCTGCCGTTTGAAAGGCGAGTTCTTCTGGCTGAGTGCTGGGAACCCACGGAAGGAGCCCTGGCGAACCAGCTGCTCCAGGGGGGCATGGCGACGGGGGATGGCAGCTGCAGGGGTGCCTGCAGCCACTGGGGTACCTGCCTCGCCCTTCTCACCAGGGGATGTGGTGGCTGGTGTCGGGGAAACGTGCCCAGGCTGCGCAGGGCCGGGAGCTGCAGTGGGGGCAGCTGCTGCCTCTGCTGGAGACGGGGAGACAGGCGGTTAGATACCTCACCTCGGCACTTGAGGCCTCTCCCACCTGGTCTCCTTAGTCATCCCCAAGGCTGCCTTCCTCACCCAATGTATCCTGCCCTCAAGACAGGCTGCTTAGGGCCCTGCATGTCCCTCACTCCCACCCAAGTCAAGACCACTTTACCCAGGAGGCCACTGAGGAATTGTCCCCCAACCTGACCTCCTGTGTCTTTCTAGCTTTCTGCCACCGATCTGTTTTCTCTGCTGTTCCCCATTTTCCCTTTGAGACCTTCTGTCTCCTTTTCTGACTAATTTAATGGACACTTATTTGGTGCATGATGAATGTATCAGGCCTCGTTCCAAGTGCTTTGCGGTTATTAACTCATTCAGTCTTCACAACCACCCACTGAGGTCAATGCTACCAGTATCCTCATTTTACAGGCGTGGAAACTGAGGCCTAGCAATGGTAAATGACTTGCCCAAGCCACAGTGCTAGCAAGAGGCAGGCTGGCTCTGGAGTTGGTGGTCCAAACAATTACCCTAACCTGCCTCTCTCTCCCTCTGGCATGGGCTCTCCATGTCATGCAGTCTTCGTCTGTCATTCTGTCTTCCCTCTCTCTATCTCTGTACCTCCCACCACTCTTCCCACCTCAACTACCTCCTCCCTTCCTCCAGTTGCTACCCATACTCCTACACCTGGCATGGCACACTTCTTGCTCTGAGGAGCTTTCCAGATCTTTCCAGCCCCTTGGCCTGGGCTCCCTCCACTCTGAGACTGTCCTCTTTCCCCTGAGGGACACCTGTCTTCCCACTCAGCCCAAAGAGTGCTCTTCAATGGCCAGGTCCCCTCACCCCTGCCAATACACAAACACCCCCCCCTCCAATCAGGGCCTCACCCTCCTGCAGCCTGAATGCCAGGGAGATTAAACTCAGTCCCAGAGAGGGCAGGGAGGTCACCCGGCATTTCTGCTCCCATCTTCCAGGTTGAGGCAGTGAGGCTCTCACCCAGCCTTGGCCCCAGGCAGCGGAAACAGCCTGGGACAGGTTGGAACCAGGAAACCACCTCTACTCCGCCACCCCTTTCACTGTGTGACCTCAGGAAGTCCCCTTGGCTCTCTGGGCTCCAGCTTCGGAACTGTAAACCTGAGATAAACATCCCTCTGCTGCACCCCACCCCTCACCCAGGGCCCCCAGAGAGGTTCAGTGAGGGAGTAAATGTTCCATGCTTTGTAACTTTGTAATCTGACAAAAGCTTCATAAACAACTTCCCAGAAGGCCCACGGCTCCCCTGCAAACCTAGAAAGCTCTCTTTGTACAAGTGCAGTACCTCAGGACAAATGTAGTGCCTTGAGACTGTGACTCGGCCGGTGGGATATGTTGGGCAAATCATAATGCTCTCTGTAAACTCTCATTTTGCTGTGCAGGCTGGAAAGCGCTTTCTACAGTGCAAAGTACCCGGAGGCTATAATATCCTTGGGAAACAGCAAAACCCTCTGCAACCTCTAAAGCATAGGGCAACAGTCTTTGAAACTTCTAATCTCCTATATTAACAGTAAAGAAGTCTCTGTAAACTGTGAAGGGCTGTGTGTGTACTCAGTGTGCTCTTTGTAAACAATAAAACCAAAAGACCAGGCCCTTTGCTGACTTCACTTTTCCATGCTTTGCCCATGGAAAATTCTCTGCAGGTTTTCATAGATGATGCAAAGAAAAATACTCTGTGAGCTGTGATGAAGTTAATTTGTAAAGAAGTTTATAAATGGTCATGTAGTTTATATATAACATACTTTGTAAACTCTAATATTCTAGTAAGTGATAAAAAGTTGTTTTCCTAACTTTTCAGTTGGAAATATTTTAAACTTACAGGAATGATGTAATAACGAGCCAGCAGGTTCTCTTACCATATGGTCCCCAGTGTTAACATGTTACCATATTTGCTCTCTCCCTCCTACCATAATTTCTTTCCTACCATTTAAGAGTAACTTGCAGGCAATTTAACCCCAAACCTTCAGCATGTACCTCAGAAGAACAAGGACGGTCCCCTACACAACCACAGTATCATGTCTCACTTGGGGAACTGAACACGGGTACGATGCCATTAGCCAATCTACAGTCCAGATTCCAGTTTCCCCAACTGTCCCGATTGTGTCCTTCATAGATGCTCTTTTATATATATATATGCAGGACCACACACTGAATTTGTTAATATGCCTCAAATCTTTTTAGTCTCCTTTAATCTGATACAGTTCCTAGTGGTAAATTCTTTGTCAATCTCAAGCAGTGTTTTCCAAAAATTTAAAAACTAGAATCCACAGAAAAGAAAAATTCAATTACATTGTGACTTAGCACATAATACCCTTATGTTGAAAAAAAAAAATTTTGGGAACTTACGTAGGTATTTGCCATTCACCTAGAATGTTGGAGCCTAGCAGATAGTTTTCAAACTTTCCTGATGGCAACCCAGAGCAAGAAATACCTTTACACGGTAACCCATTCCACACACACACACAAACACACACATGCAAACAGATACTGAAGTAAAACTATCATTAAGCTATACCTCCCTTACTACATCTGATTACTCTGGTATTTTCTATTTCATTTTTCGAACACAGTTGGAAAAGCCCAGGAACCTCCCCAAGCTTGCAGGTGACAGAGCACTCTGTGAGCTTTGCTGGGATTTGTGGTCTACAGAATATTGCCCAAAGAACTCCTTAAACTAAAGCAAGCTTAAAAAACTGTAACCAAATGTTGTGGTTGGTGCTCTGCTTTGTAAACTGTAGAGCCCCTGTGCCTCTGCAGCTTTCCCTGCAAACCGGCTCGCCCGCCCGGGGCCCACTGCCCAGCCCCGCTCTCGGGTAGCGCGCACCTTTCTTTTTGTCGCCGGCCTCTCGCTCAGCGGGCCGCCCGCCCCCGGACAGGCGGAAGGAGCCTTCGCGGGCGAAGCTGGTGCGGCTGGCGTCGAAGGTGGCTGTCACCCCGCATTCCTTCTCTCGCCGCTGTTTCCGTTCCAGGCAGGCGGCGAAAGCACAGCCCACAGCGTGGCTCAGCCTCTCGCCCTGTGGGAAGAGGTTGGGGAGAGGGTTAGAGACACTGAGTTGTGCAGACTGGACACCAGGAGCCTTGGGTGCCAGCACCTAGGCTCCAGGTGACCCCGGACAATCCCTCTGCCTCTCGAGGCCTCTATGAACACCTGCACCTAGAGGGGTACAAATGACAGCTCTGAGTGAAAAAAGCCGGAAACAAAAGTTCAAGACTATGGAGATTCCTAAAAAAAAAAATCAGCTGCCATGTGGCCCAGAAATTCCACTTCTGGGGGTTTATCTGAAAAAAACCCAAAAACGCTAATTCAAAAATATATCTGCATCCCTATGTTCACTGCAGCATTATTTACAAGAGCCAAGGTAAGGAAGTAACCTAGGTGTCCATCAATAGATGAGTGGATAAATAGGATGTGGTATACAGATACAATGGAACATTACTTGGCCATAAAAAAGAATGAAATCTTGCCATTTGCAATAACATGGATAGACCTAGAGGGCATTTTGTTAAGTGAAATAAGTCAGAGAAAGAAAAACTGTACGATTTCACTTATATGTGGAATCTAAAAAACAAAATAGACAAACAAAACAGAAACAGACCTATAGATGCAGAGAAGAAGCTGATGGTTGCCAAAGGGAAGGGGGCTGAGGGGATGGAAATTAAAAAAAGCACACTGCCATATGCCTCCATTTATAGGATGTTCTAAAACAGCCAAAACTAATCTATGATGAAAAAAGTCAGAATAGCGGCTGTTTCTTAGTGGGTGGGGTGGGGAATGACTGGGAAGGGGCAGGGGGGATGCACTGGGGTGGTGGTCATGTAAGCTTGGCAGGGTTTGGGGTTGCACAGGTGCATGCAGTTGTGAAAACTCAGCAAAAGTATACCTAAGGTTTGTGGACAATGTGTGTTTTTTTTCAAAATAAAAAGAGCTTGGGGACCACTCTGGCTGCTCCACTGGCTGGGTCTCCCTTGGCATCTGACTGCGCTCAGCCCAGCACCACAGGGAAGCAGGGCAACCGCGAGGCCTATGTGATCCCAAGAGCAATGGCCAGATCAAAGGGTTCGATCCAGTTTTCAGGATCAACGATCCCAGATTAATGACCGCAGCTGACCAAGGCCTACCCAGGAAGAAGTGACAGAAATATAAAAAACAAAAAGGCTCCAAGGCATTGGCTGACTTTGAAGAAAAAAAATGAATGAGATCTAGAAGAAAGACCTAAAAAAAAACACAGGGAGAAACTATTAAGTGGAAGTGGGAGCTCATCCAAAAAAAGACAGCAAGGAAAAAGAGAAGAAGAAATCCAGCAGGTATTCTCTTCAGGCTCGGGTTCTTCCATCACTTTAGATGATGGAAGAGGAACCATTCACACAAACCTGCAGAAAGCTCCATGTCAGAGGCCGAATCAGGCAGTAAGGAGAGTTTTAAAAAGAAAAAAGTCAAAGGACATTCAGGAATTTGGCAAACGGAGAAAGGCGTGTCCTGAAGGTAAACCTTTCTCACGTGAGCCCTTATTAGAGTCAGATAATATTGGGGAGGCACAAGCCAAAAAGAAGAAAAGCCGCGAGGCCCTTTCCCAGGAAACAGGAGCAAACTTCTATTTCACCGAAAGCACCGGTATCAGAGTTTTCTGCTACAAGCCTCGGAATCCTAACTGAGAATGCTTCTGAGAAGCACCATTTGTTGCTTTCATCTGATTCTCAGAGGGGACCTTGCAGGCAAGATGACTCATGTCTGAGGAGGGCCTGAGGGAGCCTGCTGGGGGCCGGAAACCCCACAACTTGACCTGGGTGGGGCTTATCCATAAGCAAAAATTCATGGAACTGGACGTGGAGTGCATACGACTGTATGTACATGACCCCCAATTAGAAAAGGTAGAGAAACATGAAGAACTGATAAGTAGAGTGATAACCAATGTTTTCCTGAGTGCTTCCTATGTGCCAGGCATCAAATAAATCCTGTGTATTAACCCACTCAAGTCCACAGTAGTCCTCGAAGCTAGGAGCTCTGAGTATGGTCTCTTTTCTGGTGAGGAGAGGTGAGCGGCGTATCTGACTCCACTCGGCATGCCGGGGATGGGGCTGGAATGGGAGAGGAGTCAGCAGACTTTGGGCTCTGGCAATACTCACAGAGTCCTTGAGTGCCAGGAAACAGTGGCAGATCCAGCGGCGGGTGGTCCCATCACGGCAGATGTAAGAGAAGGCCTTGTCCAGGTTGCGGTCAGGAGCACAAAAGGAGACCTTTTCGATGGTCTGGTCCACCAGCAGGTCCTGGGAGTAGTCGAGGAGGCCAGGAGAGGAATGTGAACTGTCATACATTCATTCAACCTTCCCTTAGTGTCTGCTCTCTATCCCATCCTGATTAGGGCAGGCACCCAGGAGTCACTGTGCATCCTGCTGTGTGCCCTGCCGGCATGGGGCTCCCAGTCTAGCGCAGAATCAGGAGAGAGCCCAGAGTCTCAGCCAGGCTGTAATGAGGGAGGCACAGGCAGAGAGGTTATAGGTGGGATGGGGGAGGCACAGGGGCCTGCAGGAGCCAAGAGGAGGTGCCTGATCCAACTTGGGTGTGTAGGAGGTGGAGCCAGGCAAAGCTTCCTGGAGGCAAAAGGCAGGGAACAATATTTCAGGCTGAGCAAACTGCCTGTGTAAAGGTGTCAGTACCGTTGACAGTCATTAACCTAACTCTCATCATGTGCTGGCTGTCTCCTCTGGTAGTCTCTGGGCAGGCAGGGAATTAAAAAGTGAACAGACACCAGGTCCTGGCCCCATGGCACTCCTGTCTGGCTGGGTAGACTGACAACAAACACATAACAGCTAACACTCATTGATCCGACCACTTACGGTGTACCAGGTGATAAAGACTAACAGCAGCTTTACGCAGTCAGTCAGGAGGGCCTATGGGAGGAGCTAGGGCTTATGGAAGTTCTCACACTCTATGTAATCACATGAACCCTACATGGGAGAACCCTACAGGAAGAGCTCTGCTTATAATAAAGCTCTATGGCCTGACTCCCTCTTCCCTTCTGTAAATAGCCCTCCATCTCGGCATGCAGGCCAGGGTGCATGTGGCTTGCCATGTCTGCGTGCACCTGGTGGCAACCCTTTCTTTTTCCCGAATAAACCCTTTTCGGTGATGAAACACCTAGTCAATATTATCTTTCAGTCGACAGAGGAACAGCTTTAAATTATGTGATCTACTTTCTCAGGTAATGGTAGGGTCTTTTATTACCCCCATTTTACAGATGACACAATTGAGGCACAGAAGGGTTACATCTCATATCCAGGGTCACCCAGCTGGTAAGTGGGTGGGCAGGGATCGGAGCCAAGGCAGCTGCTCCACAGCCTGTGCCCTTACCCACTATCTACGCCAGCTCACAGACAACCGCAAGACTCAATCCTGAATTAGGGCTGTGAAGTGTGCCAAGATGTCGCAGGAGCACATGGTGTAGTCCAGAAGGTCCCTGAGGGAGGGCCATCCTAGCAGTGGGTGGGAAAGCATCCTCGGCCCCATCGAGCAGGGTGAGGAGAGGGGCCCTTTGGTGCCCTCTCCCACCCCCACGGGCCTCCTACCTTGGTCTTGTCATCCACCACTCGGAGCCCATCGGCTGACACCCACAGGACCGACTTCACAGACTTCCGGCCCATCTGGTGGGGAGGGGAGAATACAGGGCCTGATGAGGGCTGCCTCCGGCCTGACCACCCCCTCCCTGCGTCAGCCCCACTCACCGCTTTCAGCTTCTTCACGGCATCCTCACACACATGCATCCCCCTGGACTCCTCCACCTCCACGTGGCCCAGGTACTTGGGAGGGAGGAAAGAGGACGAAATAAGCACAGTAATCAATAATTCCGAGTGTCCCCTGGGCAGCTGCGATGCATCACACAATGCCCTAAGCACATCGTATTTAGTAACTCATTTACTCTGCACCTCAACTCTACAAGGTGGGTCCCGCATTCCTATCCCAGATAGATGAGACCAAAGCACAGCATGCAGTAGCGATTCCCATCCTGCCTCTAACCCTGGGTCTTAACCTGTCACTGCTGTCCTGCGTGCCAGCATCTGCATCTCTGCGCCTGAGGACTGGCCCCAGCAATGACTGTTGGGAAGTAGGGTACACAGGCCCCAGCTCCTGCCCCTGTGGGTGGGTGGCTCTATTTCCCAGAGTCTCCAGCTACATTAAGCTCAGTTGCCCACAGCTGCAGGTTAGTGACAAACACACCATTGATTGGCTGCCTTTCTTTCCTCCCGTCAGCATTTCCTGCACCACCCAATGGGCATCTCACACTCAAGGTCTGCACCTAGGGGAAGGGACTAAGTTGGGATTTAAACCTGAACCTGCTGTCTCTCTTATAAAAGTGTAGTGCGCATTATAAAGGTCATAGAATGATCTGCAAATGCTATAACATTTTTGTGACCTTCCAGTGCTCTCTGGAAAGTGTGAGCTCCCACAAAATGGGGTGACCCAGGCATGCTATCCCTCAGGTAACATTTTTCTGGTACAAGAGAATGTGTGTAGGTTGTTCTTTAAAAAAAAAAAAAAAAAAGTTTTTATTGATTTTAGAGAGAGAGTTAAGGGGAGAAAGAGAGAAACATCCATGTGAGAGAGAAACACGGACCGGCTGCCTCCTGCACGCCCCCTACTGGGGGTCAGCCCGCAGCCGCAGCCCGGCCGCGCTCCAAGTGGGTGCCCCACTGGGAATCCAACAGGCCACCTTTCGGTGCCAGAGACGACTGAGCTACACTGGCCAGGGCTCGGTTTTTAATCCCAACTCTGAAGGACGCAGGCAGGGGGGTCACGCCTGGGCAGGCTCCGCAGCTCTTTGTGGACGCGCTGTCTCCGCCACACAGGACAGAATTTCCTGGCCGGCGCGCCGCCCCTCGCCCCGCGGCCACTCACCCTGACCGGGAAGCTGCACGTGCCCTTGCGCACCGCATCCTCGTCTGCCTGCCACTGGTGCGGGCGCGAGGCCTCGGGCACGTACGCTGGCTTCCGCCGCCGCAGGCTCTGCCGTAACTTGTTCATGGTGCCAGCCCCGTCTGGTGACACAGGACAAGGAGGGGGTCAGAAGCATGGGGCTCAAGGGAGATGGACACAGTACTCAGGGAACACGGGGTGTCCATGTGAGGTGTGGCTATTGTCATTGATGACTGCTGCCTATGACAGTGTATGTGACAGTTACCCAAGAGACCATGTCTATGTCCAAGACTGTGGCTGTTTGTGAGGGTGTGTCTGTGTCAGAGCATGTGATTATTGTAGAGTTGGGTCTATGAGGGTTGTTCTGAGTGTGTGTCAGTACATACCCATGCATCTGTGAGGGCGTGTGAGAACGTGAGGTGGTTGTCTTTGAGAGTTGTTTGTGACTGTTATTTATGAGGATGTGACTGTGAGAACATGGCTGTTGTCTATGAGTGCTGGGTAGTATGTGTGAGACTGTCTGTGTGCAGAAGTGTAGCTCTTTACGAGAGAATGGGTCCACAGGTGCTGTCTGTGAGGCAGTGTCTGCTGGAGAAAGTTTGGTTGTTGTCTATAAAAGTGTGGGCCTGTACATGTTGTCTGGCCAACTACCTGTGTGTAAGACTGTGTCCCTTGAGAATGTGTATCTAAGCTTCAGTATCTGCTTAGTGTCTGTAGTTGCCTGTCTGAGGGAGTCTGGGTGTAGTCTGGGAATGTATCTGTATGTTTGTGACCATGCACTTCTGTGTAGGGAGGTCGATATGTGTCTGAATGTGCCAGTGTGTGTGTGACATAGTCCAGGTGTGTGTGTCTATGCATAAGTTGGGCTTTGATGGTCATTGAGTGTGCAGGGAAGAGGTCTGAGGGTGTCCATTCATGAGTGTGATTAGGACTGTTTGACTGCAGGGACAATTCCCACTCAGTCCCTGCCCTGTCCCTAGCTGGTCACTCACCTGGCTCCGTCCTGGAGGTTTCAGGGGGCCCCGGGGCCCCACAGGGGGCTGGGGGCAGATGCTGCTCAGGCCTTCTGGGTCCGCCCTGCCCAAGGGACAGAGGAAAAGGTGAGAGGATGGCTTAGGATGGGTGCAGTCCCCTACCTCACCCCCTCTTTGGACATTAGCCAACCTCCCCCTCTATCAGGCTCTCATCAGGGATGAGAGCAACTGGTTGTCATGGCAACTGTTACAAGGGAAATGAGCCACCTGGTTGCATTTTGGGGGCATTTCTTAGGAGCTATCCTGGCCTCAGGAGGCTCTTAGTATTCATAGGGATGGTATGAGGAGGGAGGGGCCTTTCCCTCTAGACACATGTTCAGGGATACACAAACATACAGTCACATGTATGATGCAACTCATGCCTGTAGTTGTTCCTAGCACTGGGACACAGCTCTGCACATTTAGTTATACACAAACACAACCCCAACTATACATACCACGTCACACAGACACACCCAAACAGTCACAGCCACTACAAACATCTTGGCACATAGCTGTGTTCACAGATCTACACAGTCTCCACTACAGACATATGTCTACATGCAGATAGTCCCAGCCTGCCTAGGACTGGTCACGTCACAAACTCCTTGTCACGTCACAAACTCCTGGTCACGTCAGCTACTGATACTTGGTCACTGCTGTTTTCTCAGCCACATACAAAGAGCCCAGGCATACCCACCAGAGTGGTGCACTACAGCCACACCCAGTGACAGCTATGCTTCCTCAGGCAGCCACCCAAGATATGTCACAGACCCACTCACGTAGAATCATACCCAGTCACACAGACACAGTCACAGACATAAACACTTGTCATACCTAACTGCTGCTGTGTGTTGACATCTGGACATGGATGCATGGAAACATACACACACTTGGTCACACCCAGCCACAGCCACATGTGCTTAATCATCTACAGGCACACAGCCACACAGGGACACTCAACCCCTCGAATCAGTCACACCAGCGCACCTTTTTGGTCACACACTGTCACACAACCACACATACCCAGTCATTGGGGCTCACAGTTAGTCACTGTGTCAACTAATTTATATGGACAGTCCACCATCCCCAATCACAGACACAGATGGCCACGGCCCACACATTATAGAGAAACTCGCTTACACACTCAAGACATGTGCACAACCACCCAGAGACAACAATCCCCAAGGATGGCCACACTCAGACATTGCCAGACCACCGCTGGTTCAGAGTCACAGCCATACACATTTCAGAAGTGGTTGTGTACGCCAAGTCACACAGCGTCAGTGTCCATATTACCCGGCCACATATCACAGTCACCTAATATCCCATACCCAGCTGTACCCCATCATAGCATCATAGAGAAACACATAGTCTCTCTTCATGCAAACACACAAGTCAAGCAGACAACTGGCAACATACAATCACAGCCCCATGTAGACAGCCAGACACGTAATATCTCACACATACAGACATCCTACACAATTTCCACTTTACACACCACAAGCACCAGGTACATGCTCAGAAATGCAGTGACCCAGACAGAGCATTTATAACTGCGTTGATGCAGAAGACACAGTTCCTGATAGTAACCCTGTCACCAAATCACACATTCAAACACAATCAGTCTGGCACGCACGCAGACACACACATATCAAACAGTCACACAGCTACAGACACACTCTCACAGCCCATGACACAGACGCAAATACAAAGAGTCACCCAGGGTCACAGACATGCAGGTCACACACAAATACAGAAGCCCCAGTCGCCTACATCCCTTCTAACACATATGGACACACCTAGATCCTGAGTCAGACACAGTGAAATAACCCACTATTAATGGTCAGCCAGAGGTTCAGACCCCAAGTCAAGTACATAACCCAAATCACACATTCAGGACTGTAACTATACACAATCAGTATCAACACAGAGCTAGAGGCAATCATTCATACAACCCCCCGTCACACACACTGACATGGCTCTGAACACACAACCAGTCATATAAACATACAAGTCACAGTGCCATCACGTAAACCCAGTCACATAGACACAACGTGGCTGACTTCATATACAATGGCAGTCACACACCCAGTTGCAGGGACATTGTGTGTCACAGACCCATGTGTGACACAAATATAAAATCGGTCATAGATACAACCACAAACATTCAGTCGTTGGGAGCAGCGCACACTGACAGTCACAGACACAACACCACTTACACACAATCACAACTCCACCCACGTCTTCAGTCAAGCACACACATGCGCAACCCCAGACTCAACACATACACTGTCACATACCCAGTTATAGTTACCAAGGCACACAAACATGGATCACTAAAGATGGAACCACAGACACAACCCCACAGTCACAACCATGCACACACTCAAACATAGACTAAAAAGTACAGGGTTCTTTCTGAGCAGCTGTCATACACACATACACAGTCACACAAATGCTGGGTCACTCACATACACTACTAGACACAACCACAAGCATGAAACACAGACACACGCAGAGGATTCCTCAGTCACCAGCTGTGGCACAGACACACACAGCCAGTCACACAAACACGGGGTCACACTCTTAGCCACCCTCTCGTCGCCTGCTCCCCCTCTTCCCCCCAGGTACCACACACAAAGCCGCCATCACCTCAGACGCTGCAGACAGACACGGCTGCACCCGGTCTCTGGGGGGCCACCCCCCTTCCAGCATGAATCCTGGAGCCTGGGGGGCTGGCCCATTATCCGAGGGTGGGGCCACTCCCAGGCAGCTGGGCAGCCCCAGGGACAAAGGGGGTGGCCCAGGGGACCTGTGACCTGGGACCCTTGACCAAGCGGGGAGGGGAGGGGAATGTGCTTGAAATTTCCCTAATTTTATTCAGGCTGAGGTGGGGGTGGAGTCCCAGGCACTGGGACCTTGTTTTGAGAAGGGGTTGTTCCTGGGACGCCGCCCAAGGATTGGGGGGGCGGGCGGAGATGCTGTGCCCGGGACGCCTCAGAGGCCTGGGGACAATTCGTGCTTGGAATGCTCCCCACCCCCCAGCCTCGGCTTCTGGGGAAGCTGTGCCCAGGACCCCATCGAGACCTTGCCTAGAGGGTTGTTGTGCTCAGAGACCCCCTCAGGCAGGGAGGAGTGGGGATGGCGTCTGGTCTGGGATCGCCTCCAGGAGGCCTTGGCTTCATCTGGGGGTTGTGTCCCGGACCCATCCCCAAAACCCTGTCTATGGAGTTGTACCGAGAATCTGTCCCCCTGTCCTTGATTTTTCTGAGGGGGAGTTCTGTGTCCGGGATCCCTATATCTAGGGCCTTGGTAAAAGAGGGCCTGTGGCGAGACCCTGTCTCCCAAGCTTTGGCTTGGTGGGGGGCCTGTTCGTGGGCCCCCACCCAGGACGAGCCTTGGCACCCTCTCTCCATCCGGGCGCCGCGGCCGCCTCCCACCCTCCGCCACATCAGCAG